ACTACACACTACACGCTCACTACACGCTAACTACACACTGACTACACACTCACTACACGCTCACTACACACTAACTACACACTCACTACACACTAACTACACACTGACTACACGCTCACTACACGCTCACTACACGCTCACTACACGCTCACTACACACTGACTACACACTAACTACACGCTCACTACACACTGACTACACGCTCACTACACGCTCACTACACGCTCACTACACACTGACTACACACTGAACTCACTACACACTAACTACACACTACACACTCACTACACACTAACTACAGCACTCCAACTACACACTGCTACACTACACACTAACTAACACACTGACTACACACTAACTACACACTGACTACACACTAACTACACACTGCACTACACACTGACTACACTACTACACACTCGACTACACACTAACTACACACTGAACTACACACTACTACACACTAACTACACACTACTACACACTACTACACACTACTACACACTCACTACACACTACTACACACTGACTACACACTGACTACACACTACTACACACTAACTACACACTGACTACACACTGACTACACACTAACTACACACTACTACACACTACTACACACTGACTACACACTAACTACACACTCACTACACTAACTACGACTACACACTAACTACACACTACTACACACTGACTACACACTAACTACACACTAACTACACACTACTACACACTACACTACACACTGACTACACACTAACTACACACTAACTACACACTACTACACACTAACTACACACTAACTACACACTAACTACACACTAACTACACTACACTACACACTAACTACACACTAACTACACACTCACTACTACACTCACTACACACTAACTACACACTAACTACACACTAACTACACACTAACTACACACTAACTACACACTAACTACACACTGACTACACTCACTACACACTGACTACACACTGACTACACGCTCCACTACACACTGACTACACACTGACTACACGCTCACTACACACTAACTACACACTACTACACTACTACACGCTACTACACTAACTACATACTACTACACGCTCAACTACACACTAACTACACGCTCACTACACACTGACTACACGCTCACTACACGCTCACTACACGCTCACTACACACTGACTACACACTGACTACACGCTCACTACACACTGACTACACGCTCACTACACGCTGACTACACGCTCACTACACACTGACTACACACTGACTACACGCTCACTACACACTGACTACACGCTCACTACACGCTCACTACACGCTCACTACACGCTGACTACACGCTGACTACACGCTGACTACACGCTGACTACACGCTGACTACACGCTCACTACACGCTCACTACACGCTCACTACACAAGATTTGTGCTAAACGTCTCAAATCTCTCACATCTCAAACACGCCGTCACTCCTAAAACTTCCCCCTCCCTAAACAACTAAATGCCATGTTGCCATATCATTCTTTGATTGGTCCACGTGGTACATTTTTCACCAATAGGAAAGGGCGGGGTTTTTGCTCACAGGCTTTCGAGCGTTTTCCTTATAAAACGCCGTTTTTACCGTTTCTTCCTGCAGTAAATATGAACAACGACAGTATTCAGGAAGGAAAACAAACATTGCAGATATTTTATCATAACTCTGGTTTTTCGTGGCCGATCAACACAATTTAAAAACTGGTATAAAGTCCACACTTTGTCCGTCAGTTGCTCGTCTGTCCTGCTCACGTCTCCAATGGTTGTACACGTTGTCATTAACGTGGCTTCACTCCACATCAGCCGCTTTGCTAAAACACCGGTGTGGACACATAAGGACGCTGTCAGAGCCTGTCAGCGACGTTGATCAGCTGCGTATATACGAATGTGAATCGCATCGTTGGCTGGACTGTGGGATAAGGCGGCATCGTTCTGATCCCACACAGGAGCAGCCAGTCACTGACTCACACTGCAGAACTGAATCGTTAAAGTTTTCATTTTAATTTCAATTCAGGTTAGATTTTTTTTTTTCTGTGCGCAGGGACCGAGCCAGCAGTGCACAATTGCGCACGTGCACAGCTTAGTGGGAACATTGGTCATAAATACAACTTGAAAATTCATATTTTTACCCCTCAGTACGGAAGAGGATTAGGGCCACTGGAAAAAAAAAAGTGGGCACGTCTTTTTTTTTTTCTTCTTTTCCTGAAGTCAGAATTCTGACTTTAATCTCAGATTTTGTTTCCAGTGGCCCTAATCCTCTTCCGTACCTCAGCCACAAAAGGCTGATGGGATATTGTTGTCACCCCACTGTGGGGGGTGGGGGGGGTCAGCAGCATGAACATCTAAGTTTGTGAATAACTGGGAACGAGGCAACGCAGGAGCTTCAAATTGATGCCATTGGTGTTCAGATCTTGTGAATGGCATGTCTGCTGGAGGGCAGCTTCTAGTGTTTTGAGTGGTGTAGAGCCCTCAAACTCCGTAGATGTCCATGCATTAGTAAGCTACTGAAAAACACGGTGACTGCATTGATGCATTGTTTCAATTAATGGCAGCAATGCAGCAACAACTTAACCTGCAGCAGTTAGTTAGGTTATCCTGGTGTTAATAACGGGCTTTGACATACATGTGGCAACATTTCCACATATGAACTTTGATTTCTTAAGGATAGTTGGGTCCAATGTTTTTTATAGATGTTCATGTTTCCTGCAGCCTAAGATGTAATGCGCTGTTATCTGTGACCATTGTCAGGCGCAGATTTTGCACAAAGCAGTTCTCAGTTTCTGAGGAGGCTTTTTAGTGCTGCGTAGCATTATACAGGGCTTTGAGTGCTCAGGTCCATTTACCAGTAAACATAAATGAAGGCCTGTAGCACTGTGTGGCGCCCCTCAGTGCAACAAGCCGGTGGCTGATGCTGCTCCGCCGCACACACAGTGGTGAGGGGTGGAAACCTGCAGACAGTTTTGCTAACACCCTTCACTGCTCCTCTTCTCTCACTGAGTGTGACTTGGGGCGCTGACAGAGAAGGCAGGTGTCACCTACCTTGTTTACACATCTTTTGGGGAACAAGGGTTCTGTAGTCGAGGGGTGTGACTCCCAAATTGGACTCAATTTAGAGAGAAATGTTTTTCAGCCCTGCACACAACACAAACCCGACTACTGTGTGCACCTTAGTTTCATCACACTGTGAATAATCCCACTGTGTGTGTGTGCTTTAAACACGTCGTCCTTCAGCTAACTCATGTTAAAAATAGAAAGTCGAGACGTTTGGGTGTGAAGAGTTTCTGCTGCCCGGTGCTGTTCCTCCTGCGGACATGTTGATGGGGCTGTTGCACTGGGAATCTGTCTCAGGCTGGCCTCACTTCATGGTTTCTCAAAGCATAACTCATTAAAATCCTCCTCTGCTTCTTCCACTCATCATAGTCTGAAATGATCTTTATTCTGCAGTATCACTGGATGGCTGTATTAAAGTCTCCTCCATGTGTTTGTGGGATTAGTTTTCTTTTGTCAGCAGAAGAGCTGCTTTATTAAAGCAGACCCAACATTACTCCTTTACATGTTTTTTCTTATATAGAGTGCCACAGTAGTATCATGGTAATAGTTTCCAATATTGAGGTTAGCGTATGTTTAAGCTGCGTGCCAGAGATGACCATATTAGGAATGTCCCCTCTCTGTGACATCATACAGAGCCGAAAGTAGAAAAAATGCCTCTGTGTTTAGAGCAACCACAGGGATTGATTGTGGATAACCTGACCTTGTTATTTGAAACCAAGGCCATGTTCAATATCAACATTCACCTTGGGAAAGTATAAATATGTCTTTGAGAAACAAAGACGAGGTTCCCTTGAAATGCTCAGCAGAAGCAAACCAGAATAAAAATGTTTCCGTCTGGATTTGAAAATTCGTTTTCGAGACGTTCCTGAAACTATCATGTTTTTTATGCTGCGTTATATGTGAAAGCTGCTTCCCCATACTTTGGTTTTGCCCTTGGCACCACAGGCAGTCCACTCCCCATCGATCCAAGGCGTCTCGCTCACATCAGCAACGGGCCCATCTTAGCATCTTTAAGTAAAGACTGATATTTTTTCCCCTTGTTTTCGATTTCTTCTTTCTTTTCTCATTTGTTTCTGTACAGCCAGATCCAAGCAAGGTGCTGTATCCTTACTTTATACTGGGTTTCTAGGTTCATACAGTATTAGTGAGACAACCATCCTGTGGCAGAACCAGTGTCTGCAGTCATGTGCTTCCATCACAGGATGGTGAACACAAAAACATCGGGCTATAGACGTGACGTTGGCATGTTATTAGAGATCAATATCACATAGCTGGAGACTTTCTAAACATCTCGCACAGCTTGAAAGTTTCTGAACTTCACAAACAAGGACAGTCTTAAACCACTTACCCTTTGTAAGCAGAACCTTTGGATTATTTGACTTTGTCACAGGGGAGCAGTTTGCCTCATGCACTCGATCCTCTGAAGACTTTAATCGCTAACTTTCCGTCCCGTTTCTAATGCACTGGCAGAAGAGGTGTGTGAGGGTGACACAGGGCTCTGTTATCACTGTTTGTTCAGGTCCAGAGATCACAGACGAGCTGGTGAAGGTGCTGCGTAAGCGCCTGGATGAAACCACCTTGGACATCATCACTGTCATGCTTGTCAGGAACTGCAAGCTGACGCCAGCTGATGTGGAGGTACATTATGATTTTCACTTTTTAGGGGAACATTGCTTTTGTGTTTCTGTGTGTGTGGTGTTCTTCTGTAGTTCTGTGTGCAGCGACTTGTACAGTGAAATGAGTAAACTGTGTCCTGCGTCTGGGTTGTATCCACCCTGGGGAAAGCAGAAAGCACTTGTTTGCACTCAGACTACTGAAAATTGCTTCAGATAAAAGCCTTCACCAAATGTTGTCTGGTCAGTTCATCCAGCCGTCAGGATCTCCAGCCACTGAGGTGATGACCTTCAGCCTCCCCCAGTACTGTCTGCCCTGGCTGTCCGCTGTGGCTCACTACCTCAAACAGAACCTCCTCATCTTCCTGCACGTGCCCAAGTACACGGACATGAACACAGCACATCACTTCAAGGTACAACCTAACATTTCCCCTCATGCGTTCAGTTTAATATTAGTCTATAAATCTTTAATAATACCTGGAATCAGCATGGTGTTAGTCAGGTGAGCAGAAAGATGGTTTTCAACCACAGTGACACTCTGTGATAAAACGCCAGCCTGTGGTGGAGAGTAATTACAAACGACCTTTAATGATGGCTGCCTGTCATTACATTTCTATGTGAGCTGTGACGGTGCACCAGTATGCACAAAAACAGAACATCCTTTAAGTGGAATTCAGCCTTCATTAAAACGCGAGTCCTCTGACACGTCAAAGTGTCGGCTGTGCAAGTGATCGTCTTTGTAGTTCTGGCTCTTGGCAGTTCTGTCACTTTGAATAACTGTTTACACCCCAAATGAAAGGCTGAGTTCAGGCAACACTGTGACATTGTTACAATAAAGTCTGATGGCGTGAAAAAAGCAGTCGGATCAGGAAGCTTGTTGTTACGTTATCGTTCACTCTGTCTGCTTGTTTGTATCTCTGTTTATTGGTTCTTTAGGCTTATTGAACATTGGGACTTATTACAGTGTTTTCTTTACTAATAATTATAGACTGTGTGTAAAATAGATTATTATGTTAATATTTGGTATCAAGTTACAGATGAATAAACTACTTGAATGCTCTTGTATGGGCCATTAGTCCAGTTACCCCCCACAGCAAACAGTGTTAGTTCTCAGATAATTAAAAGGGACCCCAACACATTGCTGTGGATGTGCAGGTTGAAGACAGTTCACAGGAATTTGGAGGCAACACAGAAAACTTGAAGTAACTGTCAGGAACTAAAGTCAGGTTTGAAATTCTGGAAGTTGCCTGAAAAGCTCTGCAGTTTGTCCCTGTGGGCCTCGAGGAGGCTGTGACGTGAACCACAGACATGAAGAATAGGAAGGGACCACCAGACATTCTAGTGAAAGAAACCTGCTTTGATAAAATAAATAAAAGGTAAATATGTCCTAGCATGTCTACTAAGATCGTTCTGTTTGAATAGATTAGCCTTTATTTTACTGGTAAATCCCACTGAGATCAAAAATGTATTCCATAAGAGACACGTGTCCAAGGAAGCAGCTAAACAGGCTCACAACACATAAAGATACACGAGCGATAAACAAGTGTCCACTGGTCCACTGCAGGACACCAGCTGCCTCCCAGTAAGAATAAGAAGCAGGCACTGTTACTGGTTACCTGAGCATCTGATCGGTGTAACCCAGCTTCCTGTAGTGTGTACCTGTTCAGGTCTTATCTCCACACTCTGTGTTTAATTTACAGGATTTGTTTTGTTTTTAAGAAAAGAGAAAAGTCAGCAGATTGTGTGGTTACTCATTCAGCAGCTCTCTAATCACTCACCATGAGATCGTTTCTGACAGTTTAACATAATCCAAGAAACTACTGCTGCTTGATTAAACACCTGAGTAAACAGACTTTTTGTGTCCTCCGAATACTTTGAAAGATTTGTTGACTAGTAAAAAATAGGTCCGTGCTCCCTGCAAACTGAGGAAGGCCTGCCTGCATTGATAGATGACAGGCTGACATGCGAGTGCACTACAAACTGCACTGTTTAAAGTGATCGGGATTAAAAATGAATAAATCCTAGATATGGGAGGCTCTGCACAACTGAGGCAGACACTAAAATCATTTTGACAAGTCTCATTGTGGTGTATGAAATAAATGCTGACTTGTGTGGTTTGAGCTTCCAGGGACTGATTTGCTCTCCTGTTCTGTCTGCAGCACTACTTTCATTTGAGCAGTGACACGGCTGACGGTGATATCTACCTCTACAATAAGCCCGGAGGCCAGGGGACGGGAGGCAAAGGTAATCACATTCTCCCAGCCCAGCACGTCAGTGCCACCAGGCCCCAGTTACTCTGTGTTTGAGGGGAAGGTAATCCTACAAAGACAGTCAACGGCACAGTAACCTCAAACCTGTCACCTGTGAATACCGATAGCCCAACCTTATCCAGGTGGGCTGCACTACTGTGTTCAGGAAAATCCAGCTTTGACACATGACCAGAGCCCGCGGTGTCTCTTATTGAGGCTGTTTGCCACATAGCCTGTCTCTCTGATAGTGATGCAGGAGTCTACATGTAGGTTATTGCTGCTGTGGTGCTGGTTGCACCTGCTGGAGTCTGTCTACTTACTGAGCACTGCTGATGTTCATTCCTGGTAGCCAGGACTAAGTCTCAGCACCTGGCAGCCATCTCGGCAACACCAAAAGGATGTCAGGTGATGTGAGACTGAGCGCCTGAACAAAGAGTAAGAGGAGAAGCATAGACTCAGTTTCATTTGTCACAGAGACAAGAAATGTTGCAGCTTTGCCTCAAAATAAGGTTTAAAAACCTTTATTCTCTGATCAGACAACATTATGGCCCCATTAATGTTCAGACATGTAGCTTCTCCCAGCTGAAAGCTGAACCCAGCTGTGGGCTGATACGTTTCTCAGTTTTTAAGCAGACCTTCAGTGCAGTGCGTCACCTTTGGCATTACGTGACACGTCTCTGTCCTCGTACGGGGTTTGGTGGAACCTGTGACACTAAGGTTAGAGTTGGTTTCGTCCACTGAAGTAAAAAAGGTTTTGTGTCTAACTGAAGGTGCAGGCCACCTTTTCTTCTGATTGGCTGTCCCTCAAAACAAGAAGCTTTGAACTGCAGGTGGGCGTGTACACAGCTTCCTACCTCAGATGCCTGCACGTTGCATGTTTGCACTTGTGGACGCTCAGAGTAGAAAAAGCAGTATGAAGCTAAAAAGTGTTGAAAACAATGTGAAGCCTGAGCTTCGGCTCACAGGGTGACCTTTCAGTCCTCTGTCCTCATTATTCGAAACCTTAGGCCTTAAGTGGGCATCCACTGCCGTGACCACATATATGTGAGAGGAAGCAGAAGATGGCCTGTTTAAAGACGGATCCATCTTCATAAACTGCTTTACAGCACTGACAAGTTCTCCTTGTTTACTGTGAACAAATAATGACTTGGAAACTTTGCTGTAACCTCAGCTTTTGGCTCCGTTTCCTTTGTTAAGCTGCAGATGTGGAGTCAGTGTGATATCGTCAAATTCGCTGACATTCTCTGTTTTTTGTCCTATTTATAACTCCCACATTAAATTCAGGAGACATTTCCCTGTCTGGCATAACAGAGCCCATCACAGTCGTCCTCCCTTTGCTGCACACTCTTAATTTCTGTGATGAGAATCAGCACATTTGTTTTCCTGAGGCGGCTCTCTTTTCCTCCTCCTTAACATGCACCTGAAACTTGTGTTTGTGTGTGTCTGTGTGTGTGTGTGCGTGCACGTGCATTAAGCTGGGAGCCTAACTTGCTCTTTAACCAGCGGTGACCTGCCTGTTGCAGGAAAGCTTCTCAGCTGTCCTGCTCGTTATGTGGATGGTTGTGAGCTGCACAAACAAGTGCTATTTAACAGCCGGCTGCCTTGAGCTAGCAGCTTGTACAGTGTGGTTTATGCACTCATGAATGTAATTTCACACTTGTGTAGAAATTGGTTTGCTTCATGTCAACGGTGCCTCATTTAGCTGTGCTGCTTCATTCAAATCGAGCTGAAGTTCTGCAAAGTTTTTCCACTTCGCCTTCATGCTTTCTCCTGCAGAACTGATCAGTTCCATTTCACATTGCAATACTTTCTTGTTTATAAATATGCTAATGTCATCTACTGGCATTTGAAGCCAGTTAAAGGGGAGTGCTGCTGCTTTGTAACTGAAAGGTTAGCTAGTTCACTGCGAGAAAGCGAATGTATAACTCTCCAACCAAAGGGCAGCTAATTATCGATGTAAATGATGAGTTTACTGAATTGAAGCGCTTATGTATAATTACTGTTTCTGTGACACGTTCCCTGCTATTGTCAATACAACTCAACGTTTGGCTGTTAATTACACTGCTTCATTTTTGATTTGTAGAATCATTGTGCCGCCCAAAGTACACTTCCTGTATTAACCAATAACAAAGATATTGTATATAATCAGACCTTTGGCTGCAAGTATTAAAAAGCAAAAGCACATCAAATGAAATTTACCTGTATTTTTAACCTCTGCCAGCCATTGAGCTCGCAGGAAGGGTGTTTCATTTGCTTTGGGCACTTTGGTTTTAAACCATCTCAGACTTCACCAATAACGAGCACAGGCAGTGCTTGCTGGACATTTTTACTGCAGGCAGCAGACTCCTCACAGGTGATGATCTAATATGAAGACGGGTTGATATGAAACACAAGTTGCTGTTTGCTGCACGAGGACTTTTGTGGCCCGATGTAAAAGTATTAGCTGTGATGGAAGTGGCCCAGAGGTGGGCAAGGAGACGGCCTGGAAGGGGAAAGTGGCCAAATTTATATCAGGTGTAGTTTTTGGTTTTGTAGAGTTTTGCACCAAATATTGGATCAGTATCAAACCAAGATCAGCAACAACTTCTCCTGGCATATCAGCTTCTTTAAAAATTAAAAAGCCAAGATTTTATTTGTTTTGGTACCAAGTAACTTTCAAGTGAACAGACACAGCGCTGCTTCCAGCTGCAGAGCAGCGGGAGCTCTGGAGATGGCCTCCTCGAGTCTCTTTCAAACTGACCTCTGCGCGCCTGTCGAATCTAAACATCAAGGCTGATGTGAAGAGTTTGTCCCTCGCTCCTACATTCGCTCCACTTGCCGTCTAACTACTTTTTAATTGCTATGCAGGAAAGCTCTGACTGAATCTCATTAGTCTTAGCAGCTGTGGAACGAGGTCCTCAAGTTATATGATGATATCCAAGCCCCCACTCACTGTGTGAAATAACTCCCGAGTGTCAGACAGCTCAAAAAGTTGCAAAGCGAGAGATACCCTGACTCTCACCTGTGTTGCCTGACTGCTAATTAATGAAATGTTCTCTGATGACTCTTTGCTGCTCAGTCGTTTATCGTCTGAATCCCAGCTGACTAAATTAGGATCGGCTTCCAAACTAGCTGTGAGGTAACGGCTCCTGTTGTAGCTTCAGATGTTATTTGCACTTACATGTCACGGGCCTTATCAACACTTGTTAATAGATAACATCCTTATAAAGCGCTTATTAACACACACTAGCTGTTAATAATATGCAAATGTGGCATCAGATATCACACAAGGGTTTATTACATGTTATAGACCCATTAAGACTCTAAATAGATTCTTATGCTTAATAGTGATGATACTTTATTATTTATTTATTGTGTTTAACAACTAACTCTGCCTTTATATTCTAAATCAACAATAATATCTTATTAAGAAGTCCTGTTAACATGTAAATTATGTCAGCAAGCATCTTATAAAGACCTTTTTATAAGATAAGCGTGTTATTCATTTTTATTGTTCCCAGAATTAGAAGTAAAGCTTCATTTAGACGTCTGTGGGAAATGAGGGAATAAACCGACTAACTTCCAGTCAGGTCATTTTGGTTTGCATCGACCGATTTGTGGTTACATTTCTCAGGAAGTGCACGTCAGGTTACGTGGGAGGTTGCAGCGTAGGGTTAAGTAGGGTTTTGGTTGGGGTGTAATTTATGGCGTAGATTTGACGCAGCAGTAAAACTCGCGTGCTGAGTCCTGTTCTTGGAAACAAGCTGCCTGCCAACCTGCTCAGTTACAAACAAACTGAAAACCTTTTTCTTCACACAGGCTTAGACTTCACAGGTGCTGTTGCTTTGTTTTATTTCACCTCTCAGTGCAGTGAAAGCCTGCACAGCTTCTTCTTTTTTCAATATATTTTTATTGATTTTATAATTGAGCCATATACAACAATCACCTTCCAAAGAACACAATAGAAGGTGGACGGCAAGTCAACGAGGTGGTAATACAGCACACGTAAATGTTAAGACAGAGCACATTTCACTTAAGTTTATCCATCAGGCTAACGACTGGTTGCCAAATCTTATAAAACACTCTCTCTCGGTTAGACAAGGTAAACCTGATTTTCTCCAGGTGGAGTACATTTCCAAATTCTCTCAACCACATTTCGAAGGTAGGAGGTTTATCAGACTTGCAGCTTTCTAGCCACAAGTGTGGTCATTGACACAACCTGTGTCTGTGTCTTGTCCCTTGCCCATCCTGGTTCAGACACCCCGAACAATGCTGCAAAGGGGAACAGGGACGTTCCTGCCAAAGGCTTTGGTCAGAAAATCAAACAGATGATTCCAAAAAAGATAGTTTTTGGCATTGAAAGAAACGGTGAGGTAAAGTTCCTCGACCACTTGAACACTTAAGACAGAGGGCTGAAACGTTCTTGTATATTTTTTCCACTTTAGTGGAAGAAAAAAATACCTTAAATTGGCTCAGACTATGTCTAGCATTTATAGAACTACAATATATATTCTTAATGCATTCTTGCCAAACATCATCAGTAACATCCACCCTGCCACTGCTCCCTAAAAGTATCAGATGAAGCACTGTATGTATCTAGTAAGGCGTGTAGGGCTCAGCTGACACGGAGCTGTCAACTGCACAGCTTTTTATGCTTTTTCATATGTGTTCAACACACTGAGTTTACCTGTAATGAAATGTAAATGAAGTTGAAGTTCAAATGTCTGTGAGAGGTCACACTGAGCAGGGCTTTAAACATACATTAGATTAAACTTATTCATATATATGTTTAAACTGCAGTTTAAACAGGTGCTTGTGTCAATACTTTAAAAACTAAACTATACCCACAAATGACTCTGTTGGTTGCCTCCGAGAGAAGCTCTTGGATTTTCTCAAATCCACACAATTCCCACTCCCGAGTGTCGTGCCTGAGTGCCTCTCCTGTGCTCGTGTCTTTGTCGGTTCTCAGTCCTCTTAAGTGCTTAAAAAGACGGCAGCTGGACTTCAGTAGGTTTGTGAAAAGCTTCTGCCTCTCATCCAAGAGGCTTATTCAGTTCAACTGTCAGCTATGAGGCACCTACAATGCAGCCTCCAGATCCTCTTTAAACCCCACGCTCACTCCTGGCCTGAGTTGACCTCGACAGCTCACATGAGGGTGGAAATGGGGCGATGTCTTCACACTTTGGCCCAGTGATGCTCATCTTCTATCACATCGTGGCTCATGTGTATATTATTAACAGTAGGTGTACGAACATCCGGCCCCCGTACAAGGGGTCAGCCCCACCAGGGGATCTATACCTGTGGCTTGGTAACAGTTTTAGAACTGCAGAAGCCTCTTGGATGAGAAGCATCTCCATGAACCTAAAAACATGTAGCTCCCCTCTTTTTAAGCACCCAGGAGACGGTTTTGCTCCCAGCATCAGGACTAAGCAACGATAGTTAATGGTAGCTTAGAAATGCAGTAACCAGCACAAACTCCAACACACAAACACAACAAAGCAACGAGTTTTATTGGTAATGACTAACCCCGTGTTTGCCTACTGGTGGTGGTCAGAGGGCCCGGTGGCGCCAGTGTCCGGCAGCCTCGCCTCTGTCAGTGCGCCCCAGGGTGGCTGTGGCTACGATGTAGCTGCCGTCACCAGTGTGTGAATGTGTGTGTGAATGGGTGGATGACTGAATGTAGTGTAAAGCGCTTTGGGGTTCTTAGGGACTGAGTAAAGCGCTATACAAATGCAGGCCATTTACCATTTACCATAAGCAAGCTATGGTGAGACAGCTGGCTGCTGGGTTGGGCATTAAACAACATGACAGGCTCATTTGGTTTGGTGGATCAAATCTGACTCACAACCCTCTTTCTTTAAGCTAATGTTGGCTAATGCTAGTGTGCCTACAAACACAGCAAAACTGTCTCATGAAGCCAGATACTGAGAATAAGGCTGGATGACTCCCTGGGCTGATCTGGCTATGTATAAATGAGTTTATCACCGAAACATCACCAGACAGTGAAGTTGCAGCTAGCTGGCTAATCATGTTTTGCTTGCAAATATTACTGTGGGTCGGCTTTACTAGTGTGGTGCCCAACAACTGCCACCCCCTCTTGGAGTTTCCTGGTGTTAAATTGGATAAAAATGTTATTGGTTTTGCATCCCTAATACTCTCTGTTCTCTGGGTCTTTTTAATGTTGACCCAGGTACCATGTTGGAGCTGGTTCAGCATCTCTTCCCACCTTCTCAGTTTAAAGGTACCTGCCCGTTTCACTCCTGCTGGTTGTGTCGACTGAAGCCTGCGCTGCTGCTGCTGCTGCTGCTCGTGGCCTTTTATTTATTTTCTTTGTAGTGCCCTAACACTGTGTTCGGCCTTTGTTAGGCTTCCATCAGCATATACATCGTTGTTGTTGTTGTTATTATTGTTGTTAGCTGCATCCATCTTTTAGTTGGCTTAAGATTTGGCATGGACTTGCAGGGTGCATGAAATGCGGTGTTCCCAGGGTCTCTTCTGCTTACGGACATTAGTAAGAGTTCAACACCACCACAATGAAATGCACCTGAAATATAAGAACATACACTTTAAGTATGACACTGTGTGATTTGCAAATTTCATAAACCATTTTTTTCCACAACAGAACAAAACAACCATTTTAAAATGTTGAGAAATGAAAAAGTTGTAACAGGGTCATGCTCATTAAGCTTCCCAGCTTTTATAAAACTGTTAGTCGGTCAGGACCGCTTTAGTTAAACACATGTATAGTTCCCGTAAATGTCTGAGGACGCTGGTTGCTGGATTTTTGTGGGAGGAATGTCTGATGGAGGATTCTAGGTGCTCGACAGTCCTGTGTTTCTGCGTCCCTTTCATTTAATTTCACTGCGGGCCAGTTCAGACTTTTGTATTATGAAGCTATGCTACTATATAATAGATGCAGTGTGGGGTTTAACATTATCATGTTGAAAAGTCCTTCCCTGAAGAAGTGTCATATGTAAGGCAGCGTACGCTGCTCTAAACACGGTCTATAACTGTGCCCTTTAATGGCGCCTGATCCCTGGGCACTGATGCACTCCCGTAGCACCAGCAGCAGGCTTTCATCTGAGCGCTGAAAACACGCCCAGTGGTCTTTCTCCTCTGCAGGCCAGAGGATCCAGTGTGCATGTTGCGCATAAAGAATTTCAAATTTGGATTTGTTTGACCTCACAGCATTTTTCCACTTGGCCTCAGTCTGTCTTTTGGATCAGCTTTCTGCCTCGTGTTCACATTTAGCTTCATTATTGCATGATGCAGCCCATTTTTATTCTTTTGAAAAACATTATTCTAAATTTGTTGCACAACATTTTGCAGTTTTTTTGCACACTGGTGAACTTCTGCTGTTAAATTAGAAGAAAACTAATTCAGTGTAAATATGTAAATGTTTTCCGTGTTCCACTGTGAAGGAAATATGGGTTTAAGGGATTTTACTTTTGTCTCGTCCTGGGGAGCATTTTCTGATTTTGTTTTTATTTGTTGTGTCAAGCTCACCAACCAGTGTCAGTGTTGATAGACTGTGCAGAGGACGGCCATGTGCCCCGAGAATGGAGCCTGAAGTCACTCTGTGGCTGCCCATTAGACACACAGGCCTCATTTCCCAGCTTGATCGTTCGCTCACCATCATGAAGAGCCAGTTACAGGAAGCTTATATCAGTAACTGGCTAATGCAGCATGCTCGGCTGCATGCACATTGCAATGAATAGTCAAATATGAGATGCAGATTCACTTTGATAAGCAGTAAAATTAACAATTTAAATTGTTTAAAAAATAAGAGTCATCTTGCCCATGGGGACTTTCCTATTTCTCTGAGCAGGGTCCAGTATCTCCCAGTACAGAACCGAGCGGGCACAGGTGGCAGCAGACATGATATTAAATAAGGCGGAGGTGGAGGGTGGAGGTAGGGCTGCAGAGTAGCTTGCAGTTTAAAGGAGCTTAGTTGGAGATTCGCAGTGACAGCACGGCTGGTACCTGTACTGCTGCGCGAGGGTTTCAGTTGTTGCCGTCTTAGTTTAGTAGCGTGAGCTTTGTTGTCGTCTTTGTTGACTTTGACCCTCGTGTTGACCCAACATAGGCCACTAACACTGAAACACGCTCACAGACAAAAACGGGCCAATACTTGAATAACCTGCTTGATCTAACAACACATGTGAGTTTGGTTTCTTCTTACTGCCTTGTTATAATTACTGCTACATGTGATTGTGTACGTTTTCATTTACTAAACACCGTGGTAGAAAGAACGCAGCCGCGATGCCCTCACTCATCCTTCCTTAAGCTTCACAGTATTTCTCAGGGAGTATCAGCTTGTATGGGTTCAGCTCACTCCCAGCACTTTGATGAATTTATACAGTGTACATACGTGGTGGTTATGTAGCTGTGTGTTAGCTCAGGAGCTTTCTTTAAGAACTAGTATAACATCCTCAGACATGTGGTGGCAGCTATACTTCTGATGAAGCTTGTGCAGAGCTGTGATGCGTCAGGAAGTATGAGATGATCGATAACGAGGCCTGAAAACCTCAAAGTTGCTGGGAAATTTCAAATAAACATGAAATGAGGAGACTATGAATTGAAAACTAATGAGCGACCCAGACTTTGGTGATTTGAAGTTGGTCGTTTGAACACGTTCCCTGCTCTTTCAGGTATCGCCTGCATCGCCCTCTCCTTTGTCGATGCCCACGGTCGGCCCCTTCAAGTTCCAGCTCAGGGCGGTGCCGCCCTGCAGAAGTCCGAGAACTGCTCCGTCCCCCTGCACCCGGATCACTTTAATGAGCTGACCGCTGTCGTCAAAGTGGAGTCCATCATTAGCGGCTCAGGTAATCAAAAAGAAATCGCAGTCATTTGTAAATGTTGTATCGATATTTTAGTCACAGCAGAACAAAGGAAACACGTGTTTATCAGAAGGAAAGAATTTGCCATTTTAATAAAAATATTAGCAGCAATGTTGATGACAGGTCGACAAGATTCGTGCAGCAGGAAACGGCTGTGAGTGGTGTTTGGTGCTCGGTGGGTCCATAAATAAGCTTTATTGAAGAGATGCTGGAAACAAGAATTCATCAACACAACAGTGCTGGCTTGGCCTCTGAGGAAGACGAACTGATTTACAATGAAAATGAAAAAATGCCTGCTTGTGTTCCTCAGAAATGAATTTTATTGCTCCTATAAAAGCTTAAATTGACCACCGACTGAAATGCCCCGAGGAGAGAGGGAAAAGAAATGTATAAATATTCAGTTACTTTGCTCCTTTTTGAAACTTTCAGTGATGTAAAGTATCTGTTGAATGTAACCTGCAGCCGCGCATGTACGTGACGACTCACAAGCTGCAGATTTGCAGCCTGTAAACAGCTGATGCAGCCTGTAAACAGCTGATGCAGGCTGTAAACAGCTGATGCAGCCTGTAAACAGCTGATGCAGCCTGTAAACAGCTGATGCAGCTGTCACTGTCATAGCTGCACTTTTATTTTTCATTTGCTGCAGTTCTAAAAGTCTCCATATTGTGAAGCTGCCTTTCTGGTGAACCTGAACTGTGTCTTTGCAGAAGCTGTCCACACACAGTGACTCGTGATCACAGGCCTTTGTATTTCTACAGTTCAATAAGCATCTGTGTTATCTGAGCTTTGCTGATATTTTATTGAAAACCCAGCAGCCAATCAGAGCTGCAGACTGTAAACAAATTTGTATCTCAGGTGAAGCTTGATATTGACAGGGAGCCACTTTGATGTGCAGGCCCTGGGCCTCGGACCGGTACCGGTCCGTGAGTCGTTTGGTACCGGGCCGCGAGAGTTGAGGCTCAGGTCTGAAATGTCTGGTTTTCAGGGTTTTTAAATCGGTTTTCAGCGTTAGTTTGTTATCGTTTTTATCGTTAACTCTGTGTTCCTGGGCCTTTTCACGTGTGTTATGAATAAATCTTCTTTTTCGGTACCGGTACTAGTTTTATTTTGTTGTATTTATCCGCGACACCTTAAAGGCCGGTCCGTGAAAATATTGTCGGGCATAAACCGTCCGTGGCACAAAAAAGGTTGGAGACCGCTGTAGTAGAGGCCTCTTTCAGGGTTTTGGTGGCCTTGTCAGTCTGACATTATTAAAGGAGGTGATGAGGTTTGTAGCCATGCACAACTCTCTTAAAGGTGTGCTGAGTGTATGTTGATGCAGCTTGAGACAGAAGATGTGGCTCTGGGTGATCTTTCTCTTCATCTGCTCCAGAGCATATTTTAATATTAGGTAGCAATGAGATCCAGATGTCCAAGCCCAAACTGAGGTAATGACCTGGTCTCCAGATGTTTTCATAGTCTGCGTAGATTAAGCACGACTTGAATTTAGCATGTGAAAATCAGTGCAACCCACTTTTACAATGCCAAACTAATGTTTCCAGCAGAGACTGGGCTCATTGGTTTTCACATTATTCTTCACCCTCTGGAGAATCGTTTCACTGCTGGATTTGTTTATGCAACAAGGTTACAGCACGTCCCAGGAGGCATGTAAACGCCACTCATTTTAAAATGGATTAATTGCAAACATAAACATCAAACTGTGCTGGGGTTAACAGTCCAGCCGTTAAATTTAGTGTCCAAATATTAAATGCCCCTAAATCGGAACAAGTAAATCTGCCGGTTAATGAATACGAGTCTATTACGGAGCCACTTACAGAAGCTAAATTTGTCAGTGTGACACTGCAGCACACGGCCATAAATCAGAACGAAATCTCATATTTGGGGCTTGTTGTTATATAAAGTGTTAGTCACACTCTGCTGCTGGGATTGGTGGAAATAATAACCAAGCTGTTTTAGGCATTAAAAATAGTCATCGTCAGTGCTGTAGGTTTAACTGTGTAGTATAACCTTCACATTACATGGTTTCTATATAGTTTCATGACATGTTCAGTGAATTCTGCTGAAATATGAAGTGTGAGTGTGAGAAGCAGTGAACAGAGGCCACCGAGTTCATATGATGTGTCCCTAACAAGCATCTGAACATAACGGGCCATCGTCCCTCTGAGCAGGTGCTTTTTATTCTTCATCACCTTCTGCAATTAGGTTGAATAGATGTGTAGAAGTGACAGAGAGGGATGTGTTAGCTAATCGTTAATGCAATGTAATTTAAACTGTGCGCTACCATGAGCTGTTTTTAACATCGATATATCACAGACAGTTTAATCATGATCCTTGTGAGAGAAATGACACCATGGTGCAGATGATTAATGGCCCTTATCTGAGTCCGACATGGTGCCACAGCTGACCTGATATTAAGACCACATCTCTAAGAAACGTGTGCTGATTACTTCTGAAAGCTTAAGTGTTGGTACTTTTATCTCTACCTGGATTATAAGGAGCAACCCTTTCTGTGTAGGAACCCCTACGATTTAAAATGACAGAAGCCTCGTGGAAATTACTGAGAGATGAGGGACTTGGTGTCTACGCAAAACATCTAAAGAGGCTTTACAGTTTTGTCACTCCAGTAAACACCTCATGCATGAGATGCAGGTGTTACCATTTCAAACTGAAGTCTCTCCATATAAGTAGCTTGTGCATGTAAATGAAGTATTTAGATATCTGGATAGTGACTAAAAAGGTTTTCTTTTGTTATTTTGGTATCATTATGAGACCCTGAAACTGTGTGCTGGAGGAAAACTCATAGTTTTGGATGTTTGTCCACATCACAGGTGATCACATATCAAAAAGCATGAACGATGGGACAGCCGGTGTCTGCAGTGCTTCCTTTTCATTGGCCGTAACATTTGATGTCACTTAACAACAAAGGTGTTTGTTGTTATGACTTCTCTGCAGCAGAGCAGCTCATCCACTCATTGAAAGGTTGATGGTTCGATCCCTGGATGTAATAAATTTACAGTTTACTAACAATAACCCCAAAATGCTCTTTGATATCAGAGTATGAATGTGTGTGAATGTTAGACGGACAGTGCTTGAATAAATGAATGTGAATGGGTGAATGATGTATAGAGTGCTTTGAGGGCTTCAATAGAGTAGAGAGTGCCGTATAAGAACCGGTCCATTCACCATTTACATCCTACAGCTACTGAATTTTACTGAAGCCAGTTCTGCATTGGCTTCAGCTACAGTTGAAGCCAATGCAGAACTGGGGGATAAAAAGTCACATGATTAGAAATGAATAGGAAAACAACCTTATAACTCGATGACCTCAGTAAATACTTTCTGATTATTTTAGGATCTATTAAAAATGTTTATATTGAATATATTGGACCTGATTAACCTTTAGAAAGAAAAGTATGCTTTATGGCGGGCCTGTCCTGTGGTTGATGATCCCTCAGTGTCACAGTCAGACCTGCCCTGTGCTTTTCATGCATGGGTGACATGAGGCCAAGCCAATGAAAGGGCTCAGTCTTAGGCTTTGCAAACCAGTGGGTGATATCACAGTGGATACAGACACCTTTGATACAGGGGTTAAGCTAAAGGACACACAGCACAGGCATTAAGAGCAGCCTCATTATCAGTTGTTTTACATACTTGTAACACGTCTGCTGATGACAGCATTAAATGCTGCCATGAGGCTGTGGCCCTTAAAGGGAAAATAATGATATCTCAGTTTCATTTTGCCATCCATCCACCCACCCACCCATCCACCCATCCATGCATCCACCCATCCATCCACCCATGCATCCATGCACCCACCCACCCATCCACCCATCCATGCATCCACCCATCCATCCATCCATGCACCCATCCGTCCGTCCGTCCGTCCATCCATCCATGCATCCATGCACACATCCGTCCATCCATCCATGCATCCATGCACCCATCCATCCATCCGTCCGTCCATCCATGCATCCATCCATCCGTCCGTCCATCCATCCATGCATCCATGCACCCATCCATCCATCCATCCATGCATCCATGCACCCATCCATCCATCCATCCATCCATCCATGCATCCATCCATCCATCCATCCATCCA